GAGTTTAAATATACTAAACTTATACATTTGTACTTGACTAACAAGATTTTAGATTAAAATATCAAAAAAATAAGTTTTACAAGAAATCCAATCTATGTGAAGATTTTATTTTTCTAATCAAGATAATTCTAAAATGATTGGATTAAATAAAGTTTTTATTATATTAAATATTATTATGCTATTATGATCTTTAATTACTACATCTAAAGAAACAATCTCATGCATAACATCTCCAAAAGATAACGAACGACCATCTATAACTTCTACATGTACTTGTTTAGTTTTTTCGACTAATGATATCTCTTATTTTTTGATAAAGTCTTTATCCATAAAATAGGCTGAGGCTCCTAAATCTAACAAAGCTAAGACTATGTGATTTTTTCGTCTTAAATAAACTTCTATTATAAAATAAAGTAAAAAAATATGAAAAAAAAATAAGACCTTTACTGGGAGTTATGCAAGATTCCAACCACATTGCATTATTTGTAATTGAAAAAACTTGTTTTTTGACAACTTATCTTCTATGGCAACCATGCTTCTCATTTTGTAATTGTGTTGTTTCTTTAGACAATGTTGAGCAGAATGTTTAGCTTCTTCATAATATAAGCATAAGCCCTTTTGATGTCATCGAGTCTTTTTTTCTTTTGTGAGGGATTTAAAATATCCTATATGAATTTGCATTATTTTTGGCCTCAATGAATAAGTTTTTGAAAACTTGGAAGCTACCATCATTATTTGATTTGTTCTTCTCTAGTCAAATCTTTATTTTTGACATCTTTCAAATAATTGATTGTCGCATATAATGGCGTGATCAATAAATTGTTCTAAAGATTTTACCTTTGGTATTGTCAGTAATAAATCTTTGATATTATCCTTCAATCCATATCAAAATTGATTGATAAGGACTTTGTCATTTTAGTCCATATAATAAGCGAGGTTTTGGAATTTAGCAACATATATGGAAGCTGACCGTGATCTTTGCCGTAAAGATAAGAGCTTGGTTTCTACTACTCTTTCTCGATTACTTTCTCCAAATGTGGCCATAAACACTTCTAAAAATAAATTCAAATTATAAAAGAATTACAATTTTTTTTCTATTAAAGATACAAACCAAGAAAGAATACTTTCTGATAGAAGTATGCTTATGAATCCAACTTGAGTAAATCCATTAAGATACTAAAAAGGATACAACCTTACATACAACTTGACTTGTTGCAAAAATCTTCAAAATTTTGATTTTTTTCTATCAAACTTCTTAGGCATATGAATCCTTTTTCCCATTATACTTATAAAAGTAAGACTCTCTTGATTTGGTTGTAAAGTTGATCTATTTACTTCTTTCAACTGCACAACTTCTTGCTGTAAACTCTAAACTTCTTCTATAAGCGTACATATAATACTTCTATGAACCATATTAGAAATACATGAAATTTCTAATCTTAAAGTATTAATAAGCTCATAAAGATCTGTAATAGTTGCAAATCCATTCTTACTTTTGCGGAGAGTAGTACCCATAATCTTTCCTTCCATAAACAACTTAAAAAAATACAAAAAATTAAATTAGAAGATGATAATCCGCAACCTCTAATACCAAATAAAAATTTCTACAAACAAGATTAATCTACTTTTTTTAAGAAAAAGATTAGTATTAGAAAATAAGATTTTTTTGTATAAAGGTGGATATTTTGTAACCTTCAAAATGTAGCAATAGAAGTGGGATAATCCACTTACTTCTAAAACAAGGCAAAATCAGTAAGTTAACACTCTAGTCAAATTTTCAAGAATATGAATCTTGAAGAAAGAAAATCCTTAATATACTATGTATCAATGAAAAAAACTAGAAAGTTACTCAAAGATGATATAATATTAAATTAGAATAGCAAACAAGACTAAGGACTAGAAAGGCATTGGCAAGAGTGAAGAAGGCTTCACTCTTGCTTCTATATATACTCTTAACTAGGAGCTACATGGTGATGTCTTATATGACCTCTAAAACATATTGACTTTGTAAGACACGTATCTTAACTTGTAAGATAAGTTTTCTATATGTTTCCCGCATAGTTAACTTGTTCTAGAAGCTATCAATACGTGGTTAATTTACTAACCAAGTTTCTAACCTAACAATCAACTATAAATATATATAAAGTCAAAGTAGTATTTATGAAGCTTCTAAGAAGCTCTTCTAGAAGGTATTATGAAATTAACCTACTTTTATCTACTTTTACCTATTTCTATCTAATCATATAAATATTTATTAAAATACTTATATATATTGATAACATAAATTATAAACTTTTTGAAGATTTCAAATATACCATTAGAATCAAAAGCATCACAAATAAGAAGGTAGGTTAAATCAAAACATCAGAAAGACAAAGTATAAAAAAAATCAATAAAAAATTATATCATGTCAAATGCCTTATATTTAAAAATTAAAAATATGTATAAGATTTTAAGTCTACCACTACATTCCTAGATATTAAAAATATGGAGATATGTCAAATCAAAGCTTCAAAATTCTTATTCATATACAAAGTCAATTCAAAAGTCAAAATAGTCAAATCCTTATTATTTACAAATACATGCATTTTTTAAAAACTTAAAGTAAAATTTTAGAATGGATAACCATCAAATGGACCTAATGGACTTTTTAAAAATTTCAAAAATCTTTATATGAAAAAAGTCAAAATCTTAAAGTCTGATTCAAAGTAGATGTATCTCTCAAATTATAAACTTATATAGAAAAATAATTACATCATTGAAATCCTAAATATTATAAATAGAGGATAGATCAAATAAAAATCTAAAAATATTAATATCCAAAAACCAAGATTACTCTTTTTATTCTAAATCCTAAATCCTAAACCTTAAACCTCAACCTTAAACTCTAAACCTTAAACTCTAAATCCTAAACTCTAAATCCTAATTCTAAATCCTAATTCTAAATCCTAATTCTAAATCCTGAATTTTAAATCTATATTATTTTTTATTAATTTTTTATTCAAATTAGATCCAATTTTAGCTAATTTTGATTTTAATATGACTAATTTTTTAAAGCAATTCTAATAGTATATAGTACATTAGTGGATTTTTTTTGTAAATCTCTAGATATGAGTAAAAATGTATCAAAGATTTTTGTTAAGATGTCAAATCTTTTATTTTTCAGTTTGTTTTGACTAATTTACTTAATCACTTTTTCTAATAAATTTATATATATATATATATATATATATATAAATCAATGAATATATTTTATTTTGAAAAACATTAATTTTTTAAAAAAATCTATATTAATTTTACTTTACGATTTTTATTCAATTATGTAACCTAAGAAATATTTTTTAAAAAATTAGATGTTTTTATTACAAAAAATATTTAATTCGATTTTTTAATTTAAATAAAAATAATATGGATTTTCTGATTTAATAAAATTATCTACAAAACCTCAAATCCGACTTCTAGTTTTTATTGTCCTTATCTCAAGTTTTAGAAAGAAAAAAAAAAAAAAAAAAAAAAAAAAGAAGAGAAAGAAAGGAAAAGTCTAACATTTTCAGTTATGGTTTTTCAAAATACCTTGTCAATTGGACATACTTGCCTATTGTGACAATTTCATTGAAAATGATGTTATGTTATGACAACAAATGATCATATTGATATGCTTCAAAACTATTCAGCAAATTTTTTTAGTTTAGTTTAGTTTTGTTTTTTGAAGTCTATTATTATCAAATAACTGATACAAATTCTGTCTGAAACTTAAAATTTAACTTCACATCAAAAATGATTTATGTTGTAAAAAGCTATTTAAATTATGTAATTTCATGTCTTTGAAATAATTTTATGGTTTCAACTATCAACATTATAATTATTTATTGTTTGGTATCAATTTAAAAAAAGTTGCCCATAAATCAATTGAGGTTTTATAGCCTCATTATCAAACATATGCTAATGTATTTTACATACTCGACCCTTTAATGCAAAGATTAAATTTATATTGATCTTATTCATCCACATTCACACTCAATGGGATAAATGATTTATTCTATCAATATTTTGATAAATTCTTAAGTATAAAAGTTAGATAATTCACGTCTTTTCATTTCAAATAAAAAAACCCAAATTAAACAGAAAGTAACTTCAATTTTGTACTTGTCTATAAAGTTTGTGTTGTAGAAAAAATAGGAGTTTATTTTGTAAAATGGTAGAATGTGGTACAATGAATAAATAACTTACATAGAAAATGATACTTTTTGTTTAGGGTTTGTCTCTGTAGATTGTGCATTGCTAACAAGTAGGTTTCATTTTATACAGTATAAAATATTAGATATTTATTTATTTATTTTATGGTCCTACAAGCATTTCAATGTTTTTTTTTGTTGGCTTGTGTTGAAATTACAAGCACTTGCTTGCACTGAGCTAGTGATAAACAATTCCCATTGTCACAAAAGTGTATTTAAGAACCTGTTGTCTCAATATTTAAATAATAATGTTGAATGTCTTCAAATATATGTTAAGCAATATGCCTTCTATAGAAAGTCAGAGGTAATTTAGGAGCCTTCAAAGTTGATGATAGTATTTGTAGTTAGCATTCAAACATGACTTGGGTGCTGAATGAAAACAAGATTAAAAAAATTGTTTTTTTATTTTTTATTTTTATTTTTATTTGTAATGATAAGTAAATGTGGGTTATCTATAAAGGTTGGTGTATAAAGAATAATATATTATACGTATATGTATAAGAATGGGAAGGTCATAATTTCGAAGGGAGGGGTGGGGGGGGGTGTTGGAAGGCTTCAAGGCGCCAACGTGGCAAAGCAGGGCAGCCCTGGCACAGGGGGAAGCCATGACACAAGTGCCATGCCATGCCATGGGGGATGATGGGATGGGCATGGGCATGGGCATGAGATATGATGTGGGATGTGATGCGATGCGAGGAAGAGGGAGAGAGGGGAGAGGGGGACAGCGCAAACCCCCCCCCCCCTTCTCAGCACTCACTCACTCCTTCCTTGACGGGAGAGAGAAGAGACGAGAGAGCAAGTAAGCAAGTCCCATGTGGCTTTCTCGTCCTCTGTCTGTCTGTCTCTGTCTTCCTCCCTCCCTGCCCCTTCCTCCTCGCCCCCCTTCTCTCCCCCTGCCCCTCTCTCTCGTCTCTCTTCAGGGTTCTGACTCTCCTCCTCCTCCTCCTCCTCGCTCCCCCTTTCTGGATCTCGCGCCATTGTGAGGGTTATCGCCTCATCCAGGTTTGCCCCGCACTCCTTCCTGCATCGTGTCCCTGTCCTTCCTTCTCTTTTATAACATACAACGCTATTTTCCTTCCCTCCTTCCTTCTCTTTTATAACATACAACGCTATTTTCCTTCCCTCCTTCCTTCCTGGCTTCATCCTTTTCTCAACACACACACATGTACATTACCGCTATTGCGTACGATCCTTACATAGTTCCGGTTGCGATTCTTCTGTTTATCGTCGAAATTTTGTGCGCTACTGCGCAATACTGTTCTGCGAATGAACATCAGAAACTGAGGTGATGCGGATGATCTCATTATGTTTTCTGGACGTTATTCTGAATTTTGCTCACACCTTGTCTCTGATGAATATCGTTTGATCCAGCGTGTTCGTTGGAGCAAGAGTCCAAGCCATTTTGTGAGGTTTAAATAGAAGAATTAGTGGGCAAGCAACGACCCTGGAAAGATTTGACAACTGGCTCGAGAGGCAACATAGAGATAGGAAGTGTATTTGTGTCATTGGGACGTAATTGTTGGCATGGGTGACAAAGGGCTTCTCGACGGCATGGATTTGCTGCAACTTGGAAGAACAGACGCAATTCTGGATGTGGCTACAAATGATAGTACTCTTTCTGATGTTCACATGGGCGAGGCTTTGGAACCGAAGAACATGAAGGAAGAGTCAAGCGAGTGGAGAACTGAGAAAGCCATGCTCGCGGAGGATGACTCCCAGAAATTTCAGGCAGATGAAAGGATGCTCACCGACTTGCCATACGCCTGTATAAGTGTTATTGTATCGAATCTGGGTCCTAAAGATGTTGCTAGAGCTGCGTGCGTTTGTAAGGTGTTTCGAGATACGTTTGACTCTGATTCAGTTTGGGAACAACTTGTACCCAAGTCGTCCCTGAAGGTGTTAGGACTGAGTAATGATCGTATACCTGCAACTAAGAAGGAGATGTTCTCGGTTCTGAGGCCATACTTGCTGAGTGACACTCTGGTATGTAATTGTTCTTAAAATCCATCTCTAATTTGATGTGGATGGAATAGTTGAATAGGCATGTGAAGTATGCTTATTGACTGAAGTATTGTTTCGCTTCGAAAGAATTACCCGTCATCTTGTTAAGTTGCGAATGGCATGCTCTCAACATTTTCCTTTATCAGGTACTGACTGGAACTCCTGACACACCTTGCAGGCTTATTGGCTGGACAAAGACACAGGAGGAGCATGTTACAGTTTAGCAGCACGAGGCCTTGGAATTGTCTGGGGTGAAGATGAAAAGTATTGGAACTGGACTCAGCAATCAGGTGCAAGGTATGTTATTATTAAATATGGACATATCTCAAGGATCAAGGATGATGCAGGCTGTTGTAGGTGTAATTGGGCCTTCATGCACTTTTCATATTGGTTTAAGGAGTGCATTAATAATTGGACCTTCTAATTGGAATTCAGCAGGATAGACTACTCAAAACTTTCATTATTTGCATGAGTTTATTACGTTTATGTTTGGATTCGTTTTGTAATATATATATATATATATATATAATTTCACCATTTAATCGCACTTTAACTTCGTGTTAATTAAACATAAAGTTTGTTAGTTGTCCATTCAATCTAGTCTCTACATCTTGGTGTTAAGAAGAGCTGACACGGTGTTATAATGACACAGATGGCCAGAGGTGGCACGCTTGAAAGAGGTGTGCTTTTTCCACGCTTCTGGAACTATGAAGTGTATTCTTCCTCCAGGAGCATATACTTTGTCATGGCGCATCCTCTATAGAGCTTATAGTCGAACTCTCGATGGTTGGCAACAGCTGCCCGTAGAATTCCGTATGTCAACGACTGACGGATCTCAGTCATCAATCAGCCACCGCTACTTGAACAATCGATCTCAAAGTAACATCGATGACGTTACCCCTGTTCGGCTGGTTGACGACGGATGGTTGGAGTTTGACGTAGGTGAAGTAACAATTAAAGACGAGGGAAAGGAAACCTCATTGGAGTTTTCAATGGTAGAAATCGATAGTGGAACATGGAAGACGGGAGTATTTCTAGATGGTGTTGTGCTGCGGCCTACTTCTCTGGCAAGGACCATTGGACGTTATTTGAATGAGGAAGATCGTAGTGAGAGCTGGAATCAAAATATGCCGCCTTTAATTTACCGCCCTTCTAATCCACCCCCAAGGCGGGGTCCCATTGGGCGAGTAATTCCCATAAGAAGAGGGGAAATGAGACCCTCTCAGACCAATCTACCACGGTCTGATGGTGGTGAGAGTTAAATGCGGCACTGTTCAAACATAACTTTACTGTCTAAGTGATATAATATTGTAGAATGACCCATCTTTTCGGTTGTACAGATTGGAGGACAAAGACTGCGGATTTTGTACTTGTGTGCTATAGAAATTTTTGCTTTTTTCCCGCTGCACTCCACAGCTTAGGTCATTCACGAATAATTGAGAATGTGGTTAATATGGTTAATAAAACTTTACCTCGTCAATCGCCTGCTTGTCTTAATGATGGCGATTTTCTTTCCTGCCCCGCCCACCTAGGAATGTTTTGATCCTCGTTGAGCTGGCAGATGGTACTTCCAGAAATATGCGTGAAGAGTAGTAGTTCGGTTTCGTGATTAAAAGTCTACAGCACGTTTTGCTATGCATCGAATAAATTATGAATGTTCGATTTGCAAGTTTCATCTCTAAACAAACCAAATAGAAGATAATACAAGACAAAGCTCAAATTGGGTACAATTCTTCATTACTAAAGTGTATGTCTTCTTCACAAGTTGTAAATGCCTTAACGCTGTCCAGACGGTGTCTACTCCGCAGAACCTGAAATACTGAATTTTAATCCATATAACATGTTCAAAACCTTTTTCGTAGACATTTAAGGTCATCTCCTTTCCTAGAATTATCAGAGCTTCGAGATTCTAATTTGACGAATTTGCGGCTCGGGTTTCTTTTTCTTAGGAAGGGTGATAGTGAGGACTCCATCCGCCACCTGAGCCTTCAGGTCATCTGCTTTAGCATTCTCCGGAATTCGGAAGCTCCGGAAGAAAAATCCGGAAGGTCTCTCCACGTGATGCCACTCATCGCCCTCCTTGGGTTCCTCTTTCTTCCTGGTGCCGCTAATTTCCACCACTTCCCCATCTATCACCTGCACTTTGACGTCGTCACTTCGTACCCCTGGCATGTCAGTCTTCAAGATGTGCGCGTCAGCAGTTTCTCGCCAATCCATCCGCGCGTGGATTACATTGTACCGTCGAGACCCATCGAATTGCTGCAGCTCCGCTAAGGCCTCGAATGGCTCCCACAGATGCCGCGCCAGCCTAACCGACTTCTGGATCCCAGGCCTGATACCATCGCGTAAGTCTGCCGCCATCTCAATCAATCGCTTGTAACCCTCAGCACCAAGATTACTCGATCACACAAAATATGTACTCGATCACACAAAATATGTACTCGATCACACAAAATATGTACTCAATCACAGAAAATATGCACTAAACACTGCAAATCAATTGACTCACAACCTCAAACTAAGAAATCTATCATAAAACCACAACTGTTATCTAAGATGAAGCTAAGCTACAAGCAACCCGAATGAAATGAGAACAAAACAGGGATGGAATGTGAAGGTAGATGTTGGTATCATGAAATCCTTGAGGCCATCAGTTTGGTGCAGCGAAGAATCAGCCATAGAGAAAGTTCCAGAAGGCATTATCCAGGTGGACTTGGGAGCTTCTAGACGGAGCACCACGGCACCGCCAGAAGACTTGAGTGACCGAAGTAGAAACAAACTCATCCGTACCCTCCTCCTCCTCCCACATTCTCATCCTCCCTCTTGAAACGTCGTCACGTCGCCTGATGTCCTTCTGGACACCCGGTTCCTGATTGATACCCAGACCCTATTCACCGGTACCACGGTTCGCACCCATGAAATTCCGGAATTCCCCTTATCATACAAAAACTAATGAACAAATACTCATTCCTGAAAATTCGTAATTTTACAGTTTCTTTGAATTTACATATTTCTCGCCTTATAAGATAAAGAAATCAACACAAAAAGCTTGTTCTGAAAAGCTTGTTTTTCCCTGATGGTGATTAACAAGACATCTAGGTGCAAGCACAATAGATTTTATGAAATCTGTGTGAGCAATGATTAAGCTCAATCCGAACCATTAACATGAAGAGGTGTATGGGGACTCAAGCATTCAAGTATACATTTTTCCCTCACTCTTGTAAACAAGCTGAATGTATACTTGAATGCTAGTAGATGGGGTTAAATCTTGATGAAGACCAAACCAATCTTCAATGATGAACAAGATAAGTTGCAGATAAAAGCTGAATGGCAATGCTTTGTTCAGCTGGTGGACTGGAATGAGTCTAATCTTCATACATCAATTAATAGTAATAATACAAGCCATGAATGTGGAGGAAAGATGCGTTAGTTGCTGCATCAAGGCTGCCATAGCATGACCAAAATCATCTGGTTCAATGGTAGGTCAAGTGCTAGTTGTAACCATTATCTTTCATCCTTCTTTCAGCCTTCATCAAAATCCTTTCCCCGATTCTGCATATTTTGTATTGAAACATGGAAGAGAGTATGTAAAATTTGTCATGTAATCCAGTTCAGAGCCTGGACTGGCCTTGCATGAATTATTATCACTTATGATTAGTGAAGCTAAATGCTTTCTCACTCAAAAACCGTTTTGTTTCCTCCATCTTCTGCTTCAAATTCACCTGAAGCTCGTGAGCCTTGGGATCCACATATGTTGCCCATGCTTGGCAACCGGCTTCCAGAGACTGCAAGGATTGAACTTTGACTGCTTCCCACTTCTGAGCCACTACTTTGCCGATATCTGGTTGAGACATGCTGTTATCTACAAATACATGCCAGGCAAATGAATACGCTTCTTTCACTAATCGTTTAAAATGCAATACAGAAATACAGGAGCCGTGAAGCTCGTGAGCCTTGAGACCCACATCTCTCTTAACTTCACACAATCAGACGGCGTGCACGTTTCGTCTCAATCAAGAAACTAACTGCCTTAGAAGGACCAGGGTCGCTGTACGACAGCGAAAAAGAACCGATTTGATGTGAAGACGATGTGCATGGAACGAACCATTACATCAGAGCCCAATACTTGATACGATATGCACCGAAAAAAATTACATTGCTGCTACTGTCGCCCATGTGGTTTGCTACAAGCCTTCAAAAATGGCCCTCATTACTACTAAATATGTGCCGATTTCGAGAATATTCTATGAAGAATGAAGTTAGTTACTGAGGTTTCGTATTGACAGAACAGAATTCCTGGTCATGGGTAGATGATACGAAATCCGTCATATGAAAAATTTATTATTCCTACAAACGTTTACTGGGCAATGGACTTTCAGAAGTGGGCAAGTGTTTGAAAGGTTTAAGCAATTAAAAGGTTGAAATAAGGTGATACTTGCCTAAACCTTTCGCCAGGTACTGTTGAAAAACTTGTGAGCCTAAGGCCGACACTAACAATGGAATTCCGGTGATCTGGTTGGATCTGAGTCACAACAGAAGCAGTTAAGGCAGACTCGATTCGGCTAGTGTTCGCGAACTGTTGTACACATGTGAATACAGAGATATTGAAAAAGTAGGTAGGTCGCAAAAGCGAACAGAGGTTAAGATTCCTGCAACTCCGTGTTCCCTGATTTTACACGTAAACAAGACGAATTTCCCAAACTATTCCAAACAGAAAGAAAATAATTCGAAGAAGACGAACAGCTTGTACTAAGAAGGATGAACAACCGAATGCAAGATCGTAATATACGAAGTCACAGGAATTCTGGAACAGTATGAAGATGAATAGTTTATACAAGCACATCGCACAATGGGCGAGTTTGAAACTCAAGAAGCAAGCAGTGCAAGAAGAAGGGGAAAGGCGCATACCCGAGGGGCGAGAGTGGGGAAGATGTACCCCAACGAATGGTCACAGGGAATGAACGCAAAATGACGGGGATAGGGAAAGGGAAAGGAGGGATAGAAGGCAAAGAAGGCAAGGAAGGTGAAGGCGAAGTGGGGGGGGGGGGGGATTCAATAGAGCTCGGAGGATGGTTGGGGAGACCGAGGCTGGGGGATGGACCACGACGACGATGCAGCAGCAGAAACAGAATCAGGCAGCAACAGGCGGCATCAGCAACAGCAGCAGTGCCCGAACAGTGCAAGTCCCCCTCCCCATGACGTCCATGCCCTTCTCACTTGGTGGCGTGTCTCCCCCCCCCCCCCCCATTCCGTGTTCCACTCCACCCCCCATCTCTGCCTTATGTATCATCATTCTTGCCCGGAAGCAGTGCTCTGAGTTCAGACCTCTTCCCCCCTTTTTTTATAAAGTTCAATTAAGAGAAAACATTTCAACAGAAAATAAAAATGCTGAAATATTCTTCTTTTGGGTATCAACACATCATTTCGTACATCACAAATTCTCATTTATAGACCAATAATTTTAATCCATCTACCGCTTAAGGTAAAAAACATGATTTTCAAAAGCAGTATTGTTAATATCATTTTTGACAAAATGCGGGAATTGAAGTATTTTTACAGAGAAGTTGAGTTCGTCTTCAGTTACTTTTCTCGCGATATAGAAATTTAAACATAAGCATGGCACACAAGTCATACCACTCGAATAAACTAAATGGTATGCAATGGTATGAAAACCAATCTTCGAGCTTCATGGCCCAAATGTTACTCATCTTTCATGTGAATAAAGGATCTACAAAGGTCGAGATGAATCGCGATTAGAATGTGCAAGTAAATTGGAAAAAATTGCACCCACAGATATCTCATCCTGGCGCATTGACATGGCGGACAAGTAGAAGCCATTCCTGCGCTATAAAAAAATGCACACCTGATTCCTGAACTGCTGAATAAACAAGTAGACAAGTGACTCTCTCTAAAAGGAGCCCCAACAGCCCCAGGAAACGAAATCTGTGCAGAAGAAACAAAAAAGGGCATGAGGATAGAACAAGAATGAATGATAGCTGAAAGACTAGCTGGCACAGGGATTCCTGCTAAGATTTACCAATGTTTCCTGCCTCTCTACCATCCAGTGTTGCCTCATCCCCAAGCGAGGCCTGTAGCAGCTCCATTGCACTCGCCTTCGTCCCTGCAACTATCGCCTGCCTAGACTGCCCCAAAGAAGTGCCACGCGCTAGACTAGGAGTCTTTGACACAGAACTACTCGCAAGAAACCTGTCTGAGAATATTCCATCACCACTTGAACTACCCGCAGTCGGAGTAGATAAAATCCCTTTTGTTCTCATCCCTAGGCCGCTGCCACCTTCCCGGAGCAATTCAGAGCTGTCATCGTAACTGAATGAGGCTTGAAGAAGATCCATTGCGCTTGCCTCACTTCCACGCCCAGCCAACCGACCAAATGATCTGCTCTTCGGAAGTGAAATGCTGGGTGAAGATCTGCTCAAGAGAAATTTGTCTGGGGTGCCTGCTGCCTGGACTGCTGCGGCTGAGGCAGCTTTCCTGGCTGCTAGTAGGACAGCATTCTCGACTGGAGTGTCTTCCTTCTGTGTATCTGTGAGTTGTATCTCCTCCCTGTTCATCTCCTCCATTGTGCTTACTTGATTTTGTGTAAAGTTGGATCGAGTTGCTGCTGGATGAATCTCCCTGCATTAATAACCAAGGTCAGCAGGGGACGCATTGAAACATCCAAAAACTATATACTCTACACTGATGCTTTGATAGACAAAACGCCTCTTTGCTATGTAGATTCCACTTAGGTGCGCAGAAGAAAGAAAATTGCAGCAAGCTACTGCTCACCTGGTGTTCTGTAAGCTCTGAGCAGTCATGCTCGTTGATGCATTACTTCCGGTGCCTTGATGTAAAGGTTTAAGTAGACTCACGTCCCAGCCTGAAGTTTCAGTCTGTGCACTGTTCATAGTTGGCATGTACTCAGAGTATGAATCCTCTGATGTGTTGAAATCTATGGGAGCACTTGGCGCGGTCTGCTGCTCTTTAGTATCATGCTCAATGCGCTTGGCAAGATTTTGGCGCTGGTCGTTTGTTAAAGGCTACATCAAGACAGACATTTGGTAATAAGTGCATAAGCAGAAACCGAGAGATGTAAAACACATCTATAAGAAACTGGAACATAAACAATACTTAACAAAATTAGTATACGTGGGAGTAAAGAGCTGAGATGGTCAATATCATACACCAAATGACAATGAAAATGCAGGCTTATAAGTTGATCACACAAGAACGCTTACTCCATGTGAGAATCGGCAGTTACTGCCATCCAGGCAGTGACCTCGTGTGTGCCAGAATTTGCAGGGGAATGTATCCAAAGTATGTGAGAATGGGCAATCGTCTCCTTTTAAACAGCGATTGACCATAAAGAACTTGCAAGGCTGCATCAGATCCAGATATTAGTACTTACTAGACGGGTGTTTCTGAAAATACACAGAAAGTTCAAGAAACAACTGCTGATTTTTACAATTATAACTACATCCGTAAGACAACATCCAAAGCTGCTGAGGTGCACATTCACACTCTTTTTGTCCACATTACTTTTTCAAACTGTAATAAAGATCCATACACATCGTAGGTTAGTAATACTGACATCTGACTTGGTGACAGGAACCACATCATGCGAAAATGTACATTTCCCACCCTGCAAAGAACGTGGCAAAGTGATTTAGGAACAGGGCACCCACTTTGTGTTTAAGAGGAAGAATTGAACCAACAAAGAAGCAACAAACCATAACTCTATGCACTATTAACCAAACCTTTTCAAGTCTTTTGAAAATGAAAATACATGATGAAGGAAGATATGAGGTACCAATGTACAACGCCCTTTAATATAAAACTTGCAAAGGGGAACTTTGGGTTTGAACGTGTTGACTGGCAAACGTGGACGCCTGATACCTAACTCCTTCTCTTTCTCAGCTCGCTTTCTCCGAAACGCAATCTATCAGAACAAAAAGGAGGAAACAGAAAAACAAGAAAAAAGAAGGATATTCAGATAGTTGTCTTCAATAACTAAATCACAAAACACTTTACAAGGAAACAGCTTGGCTCACACTAATACCTAGTCAACTTACTATAAAGCTGACAAAATGACACATGGGTTGCAGAAGCTTGAAAGGAACTAGCGATTAAGAATTAGCTCAATAACGTCTACTTTTTACTATTCAACAAAGGTCCTTATGTACAACTGAAAAAAGATAACAGCGAAACCACCTTCTTTTTCAGTTTTCTCTCTGCAGAAATAGGAGCACGAGTTTTCTTCTTCCCATCCTCATCGCTATCAATCTATATCAAATTTACAATAATCATAAGGAAGTGCTTTAAATCAAACTGAACAATTTCTAGAAATAAACACTGCAAACAACAGAGAAGTAGGTTTTTAAAATTACAGAGGTCCACAGGACCGTACCTACTTGCAGTCATGCTCATGGTCCATCAGAAATGTCTTCGTCAATTGAAGAATAGAATTCTAGCTCACCTTGATGCGTCGAGTAATTGAAACTTGGACACTATGAAAAGCTGGAAGCGACTTGTAGGTGCTTAGACGCTGGTTGACGTTAACGAATTCCATAAAGCTGACTTACATAATGCAAAAAATATGTTTCTGATCTTACTACTTAATCAAAAAATCAAGAAGGATTAAAACCTACCTTAGAGCTTGAAATTTGCTCATCCCCAACATCGGTAGTCCACAAACCAACTTCCTCTTCAACCAGCTGTGACAACAACCCTCTATTATCCTGCCAAAAGTACACATTTAATACTGCAAATCACAAGCAGGGTTGTGATCTTTATTCACAGAATGTAACAGTAAAACACAGAGTAGAAGCAACCAGAGGACTACCAAGAACAATGCAGCAACAGTTCAGAGTGTTCACACACACGATGACCACAAATCACAGGTAAATGCATAGCAAATAACAACATGAGAGAAAATTTGGTTATTCTGGCGTCAAAATGCGACACGTAACATTGTACACGTTAACAGATATTCAAGTACAACAGTGACTCAGCAGATACCTCTTCAATGACCTCGCCTTCTTCGACACCGGCGTCAGTCTCAACCTTTTTACTCCCTTTCTGTTGCTTCTCTCCAGCTCTCCTAACAGTGTCAATCGACTCTACCTGCTTCGAAACAATGGCCAAGCGGTCTGCACAAAGATTCAAAATACAACTCCTTGATTTGGGAACACCAAGAATGAAAGAACAAATCAAATAGGAGGAGCAACGACATGCACCAAGAGTTGGCCACAATTCAAGAAAAGTGTGTGATAACAATCAGATTTAGAGCATTTAACAATGGGGCTTACCTCCTTGCTGTCCCCCATCAGCGTTGAACTCAGTAGTTGCTTCATTAGAAACCTTCAGCGCTCTCTCCAACCTCGACTTCTTCCTCTGCCTAGACAAGGCACCTTTACCCTTACGACGTTTGTTATTCTTTTTATGAACTTTACCCAACTGGCTGCCTGCTCCTCCTGCTGAGGTTTGATTCATTCTTACATCCGCAGCAAACCGCGTAACCACTGGTGTGAGTCCTTCAGTACGATAGTCAAATATGCCTTCATCTCCCTCTTCTTCCGGTTCTTCCGTTCTATCCTCGTATTTATCGTCTCTATAATCTATGGGATCGGCAGCTTCATCGTCAACTTCATCGTCTTCCCCACTTTCCCAACCCGCAGATAACTCACCATCTTCGAGCTCTCCCTCTTCGAGAATTTCATGCTCCAGTTCTTGCACTTTTACTTCTAACTTCTCATGCTCGCCAGTCGTCACAATAATTTGATCCCCTGTTGCAGCAAGCCATAAAGTTGAGTACTCCAGTACGTTTCACATTTCACAGCATTAAGAGTACGAAGCATAAAATTGAAAAGCATCGTACGCAACAAGGTCTCCAGGTTTCGAAGTAGTAGGCGCAACACTGGTATCAGAATTTAGGGTTTGGGTGAGGACTGTAGCATTAATAAATGATAACCGGGGATTCGATTGTCGACTTCAACTCAAACACGCAGAGCAATAAACCGACACAATCAAGTCCTGATTTAAACAAGTGTGATATGCAACAAAGAAAAATAAACAAATGAACAAATTTAAAGGTTAAAATATGCACCTGAAGAAGTTGCAATGTTGGTAGACGAATTCACAATCGAAACTGAGAGCTCAGAAGCAGTATTAGACTGGAACGATCTCGAAACCATCGAATCAAGCTCATCTGCAACTGGTCCATCGGAGACACCAGCAACAGTGCGGGGGGAAGACAAATCTTGACTGTTTGTTGACCCGTCCCTTCCGGCATTCAAGAAGCTACCAAGGATATCAGACGACCGAGAAGCAGCGTCCCCAGAAAGCAAACGTGATTGCAATTCCGCGGTCGTGCTAGGTTCCGACCCAGGTACATTGGCCAGGTCGGTGAAGACGGATTCCAAATGCTCGGGAAGAGGAGAAATGGATTGGGCAGGTGAGGACCGCGGACTAGAGTTTGCCACCAGATTGCAACTGCTTGAGCCTATCCCTGGCAACACGTCTGCAGATGTTGACAAGAGAATCGATGAACTCAACCCCACCATCGGATTGTTTACCGAGGAATCAGCTGCGACATCACTCTCACTTTCCAACGCGGGAGAGATCGGCGAGGGAAGCTGAGCAGGATTAGGGTCTAGAGAGGAAACCAGTGATGAGACTCGCAATTGAGAGCCTTCCGATGCATCACTACAAACTTCCCCCTTCTGGGACCCTGGGGATGACACCAGATGACCCACGTAAGAGGACACACACTCAGATCCCGCAAGATTGTTCATTGTTTCCCCTGCTCCAATCGGAGAACTTCGGCAACACGACAAGGCAGTCTCGAAACTCGAACGCGAATAGCTAAGGCCACCCATACAATAATAGGCGGGTGATAAGTGGGAATTGATAAACTATTCACTCGACGTAGGATGAATTGCAACAAATCAATTCTTCAATGTCAGAACAGAGATTTGACACAGAGTCCTCGCTCAAATTCAGCACTGAAGAGAGCGGCCATGGAGGCCCCATTATCATGCGCTCATCTTGCTTAGCACTCATATCAGCAGCGTGCACAACTGAAACCTAACTCTGAAATTTGCGGTGCGCTTGTAAAAGCTCCCCTAAACCCTCGAACAGGATCCACTGCTGCTCTTGTTGGTAAACCCCTATAAACCCCCTTCTGAGACGACATAAAGCTCGAAAACTTCACTCTGAGCAATACTGCCTCCGACGCACATCTATCTCTCCTTCCACAGGTCAGTTGTGAGATGAAGGTCTAAGACATAAACCTTCGAACAGGATCTACTTCTGCCCTTGTTCGAAAACTCTTTCGAACCCCCTTCAAAGACAACATAAAGCTCAAAAACTTCCTCCGACGCACATCTATCTTTCCTTCCACAGGTCGGTTAAAAGATGAAAGTCTGAGACAAAAGCTTGTCACGACGATTTCTGTGACCTCCTCTGCCGACTTTGATAAACCCACACCTCAGTTCTTCTGAGGTAAATTGTATCTCTTGCATACAACCATGATACAAAAATCTACGAGATAAAGCAATGGCAGTCTGGCATCGGCTAAATGTAGATTTCAACTTCTTCTAATGTAATTTTCAGATAAAACAGACAATACAACAGGATACAGCTTCTGATACTATTGCCACTATGCACTCTGACTGGTAGGATGAACGAGAATATACTGCGTAAGACTTATTATTTAAAAAAATATCTATTTGGGGTTCTGAATATTTGCTCTACGCATGATACACACTGTAGGAGCCAAGTTTCGGACGTAGGAGTTGGTATGGCTGGGCGTCACTCCCATAGGCATCAAACTTGACTATCGCAAGCATGTCATAATCGCAAATTCGCCACCTTGCGATTTATTTGGTAGTACTTAGATTCACAGAATGACTTCACGTACATGGTATTCAAACTCTTTCTAAATACAAAACAGCGTGTTCACGTTGACATAGCGTAGTTGGACTGCTCCACCGACGCCTCCAATACAATATATTCGACTTTTGCAACAAGGTTACCGAGGGTGAAAGGTACGAAGGGATTCAATAAATTCTTAAAATTTTGCAGAAAGTAGTTCGCATCACAGTTCGATTGGCACTAAAACAACACGAAGCAAACAAAGAGACAGGAAAGCAAAGTTGTCGGAGTGAGGGAAAACACCCCAGTGATCACTGCACCGGATCTTTGAGGTGCGTGATCCCCACAGCACTTACATACAATAAAACATGGTCCAATCTGAGTCGCAGTTCTAGAAGACTCTCACATCGCTTCTGACAAAAATCAAGGAGAAGCTTCAACCTCGAGACTGAAATTTCAAGTGCACTTGGGAGCATTTCAGACTCCTACAAACATTGAAGGCAGAAAAACTCATTGGGCAGGCAGACGACTGCGAACTTAAGATGGCGCGCACTAAACTAATTTAATTGTTCTCGTAGTGTCGAGTCGCTTGCAAAGGCAACACAGTCCGGAGATGATGTTCTAAAACCAAGTTCATACGCCAAGTAGAGACATGGGTCTGAAAGGTAAGCACAGTTTCATAGCTCCACTAGTAAGAGAACACTTTACAATTCGCTGTTAAGGCCATGGTGCATTTCAAATAGCTGCAGAAACAGGGACTCCAACAACCGCTTGAGAACCAAATCTTTGACATTCGAAGAACTGCAATAATCAACAGAGATCTCATAGTCGCAGGTGCACGGGCATCTTAACAAATGTTGAAACCGAGGTAAATCATGTTCGCCAACGTGCCCAACTGCTTTGTCGCTCCAGATATGGATGGTGACCTTCTCGATTTACAGATATTTGATTTTGACGGCTGTAACAATAGCATGCATAGCAGAATAGTCCAAGGATTAGTGGGAGCCAGTGTTGGTTCTGCGAATGAATTCCAGCAGTAAAAACTAATCATATGTAGATCAGCAACCTACTCTCAACGTGTAGATATTGTTGCCCGACACAGCAACAATTAAACCTGCTTCCCAACTGAGATCTCTGCAAGTCTCGCTACTAAGACAAAACAAGAGCGGAACCTGCATCATTCAAACGCAGGGAAGTGTTGCAGGAACCTTTAGCATCCTTCTTCACCTTGAGGTCACTCCATGCATGTTGACTAGTTGCAAGTATCTTCTGCGAGATCCAATGCAGATGATTGTTCTATATTCTGTGGCTATTGCGAGGAAACACTTAGATAGGATTCTGATATCACTCAAACCAATCCAAAAGCGTTTCGGTAAGGGTAGTGTGCAATAGCAATATCGAGATGAGAAGAGAACAGTTTTCCTCCCGCCAGCAAATAGGGTCTGATAAGCGCACCTGCATCCACATCAGATCACTAAATCGGTCAGAAGCTAAGCAGTGTTCACAGATCATGACATCATGATGCAATCGACCACGATTTGTTGGGCGAAGTTGACATAAAAAAGAGCACTCCTTGGATAATGATGAAAACTTCCCAAAAACCTGGTTACAACACGACCTGGTCTGTGAACTGCTCTACTTGAAGAATTCGAGCTTTATGCTACAACGCATCTCACATACCCGACGACTACCCACATTGCATACGCTTTAAACAACCGAGTAGAACGCAGCATTGCTTTCACCCGAGCAAAAAGTCACCAGGATGGGCGCACGCTCTTACTGTGTCTGGAAGAAAATGTGGATGTCTCAAATGGCGCCAGCCCTGTTAAGAACTCAGATCACATGAAAGAGGTTTTACATAATATGCTCAAGTCCTTCGCCAGTGGCAGCAATTGTATATTTGGAGAAAACGTTCTCGTAACTTGCGAGGAACATGAACTTCATGTGATTCACAAAAGTCCAAGTTACTCGCCACCAGAAGTTTCAGTTCCATAAGCTTGTTCACCATCTGCGCATTCTGCAACATGAGCGACCACAGCTGCTCGACCAGATACACGACGGCGAATAATACATGCGATAGTCCAAATTACGAAAAAGAAAATCGAGGCCCAGGCAGTGTCGGAAAGCAAATCTAAAAGCGCATTGTCGGTATGCACGGGCTCTCCAGTGGTTTGAATCCCACTGACGCTCGCTTGAAACTTGTAGAAACAGTAACGGAGGGACACTCAACTCCATCTCGAGTTGCTCCGGTCCTAGACTTCTTCCCCCCAGTGACCTCAATACTCTTGCAATTAAACACTCCAGCACAATAGTCATCTAAGGTTCCAACATACGAATCCAATATTTATTCTAACAGAATTTCGAAAAACCACCCATCTCACCAACAGTGAATTTCGTAGGAAGTTTTCTGCATAGCAACTGAGTTAGTTCAGTAACTATTTGCCGAAATTCAGAGATGCATGCCACCAAAAATGATCATAATGGAAAAAACCCCTGATATAACCACAACCTAACCCTAACCCTAACCCTAATTTATGCAGTTTCCAAATCCGAAAATTGCAACTTGAAAATGCAGAACATAAGAAACTACACTCCAAAAGTAAACACTAAGACTCAGCTCCGAAATATGGCAGGTCTGTCTACACATGCAATTCACTTCAAATGTGGTTCAATTCCCACAAATCATCATCCCATCCCAGTGTATTGCAGGTTAATTGGTAATGTAGAACTGCAACGACGAGTTCATGGCACTGACAGCGGATCAGTGAAGCGTAAAAGTGGATTACAGTAGTGCATGCAGGGGCGAGCAAGAGTGGAGAATCCGCCGTGCCCAGGCCTGCACAACCCTGGCTGGCTCCCACGCACTTACAAAGGGAGGGTCCTTTGCAGCTCTGGAATCAACTGCGTCTTGCCATGCTTCCCCTCACAAGCAGGGATACATGCCATTCAATACAACTCCATTCATACCTACCTTTTAAGCAGACTTATACAATACATTTCTGTACGAAAAAACATTGTATTTAGAGGCTATTGAAGAAGGTAACAAAGTGCATTTATTTCTTTAAACTAAACAGACTACATAACTTGAGTTATTTGGTTTAATACAATTTCACTATTAAATAACTGCACAAAAGAACTTGAGGTGCTCTTGCAGGAATATATATATATATATATATATATATAATTATATTCACAATTTATCAGGACTAAATAAAAAAAATTAAAGGAATAAAAAATGATTCATATTGTTTCTTATTCAGTAACAATAAAGTTGAATATAAATCTAGTTTAATAATATTTATGATATACCAAATGTATACACAAGACCTTTCTTTCAAAGATAATTTCTTCTAATTATCTAAATGTTATTAGTTTTCTGGCATTTCACAATTGATAAAATTGAAGAACATAAAACTAATTAAAAATAATATATCATATAAGTCAAACAGTATTTTTGGCCAAAAATTCTTGTTATTGTTTCAAATTGTTTTGATTTAAAAAAAAATAGGATTTTTAATACTTTATTTGGATTTTGTTTTTTGGATCCAATTGAATATATTAAGGTAAAGAGAAATACAAAAATCTGGAAAAAAAATATGTTCTGACTAAGAGCAAAATATTGAATCGTGTAAAGAGAGTATAATAATGTATAATGGCTTCAAAAACCTCAAAAATTTTGGTCAATTATGTACAATTAAACATTTGATATATATATATATATATATATATATATATTCTAAATTACATGACACGTGTTTTTCATTTTATGAGACCCAAAAATAAATGTTATTTAAGAATTTCAAAGCATTTTTAAGAGCTGTTTATAGGTCTTAAGTATATATTGAAATCTATAATCTATTGAAATTAATATTCATTAGTAGGTTTAAAATTTTAGTAAATTACAAAAGTTGAATGACAAGCTCTTTAATGTATCAAATGTTTAATTTTATTAAATTACAAAAGTTAATACTTGTTAGAATCAGCTTATGATTGGAACCAATTAATAATATTTTAGTAGCTGTTTTTTATTTACCGTAAATTAATATTTTATTTAAATGAAAATATGTTTTAAAACGTATATATATATATATATATATATATACATATATATATATATATATATAGATAGATAGATATATGTTTCATAATTTCTAAGATATTTTTGTTACATCTTCAAAATTGGACACTATTAATAACAATAAGCTATTACAAAAGATTAATCTAAAAATTAATAACAATTCTAATATAAAAAGATATTCCAAAATAAAAATATCATGTTAAAGTTAAAAAATAATCATATTTGATAGGTAAATATACTAGGACTAATTGCTAAGAGGGTTGATAATATTTTTTTTATGTGAGTTATAATCACTTAGTGGTAGTAGTAGAATAGAAGTGATTCTTCTAAGCCACTGTAGAATATTGCAAAATATATTTGTTCATATCTTAGAGAGCTTGTCTTTCAAAAACACTTTTTTTTCTTCATGTAAACATGTTTTTCTATTTATTTATTTATTTATTTATTCTGACTATGATACTTTAAAAGAACATTATTTTTAGAAAACATCTTTACTTCAAAAAAGCTTTCTAAATAGGAAATAGTTTTTTTTGTTTGTTTTTTTAGTATATAGTAAAAGATATTAAATTCAAAAATTTGAAAAATAATTAATTATTTATCAATGTCATTTCCATAGCTAAATTTTTAAAAT